CAAGGGCAGGCAGGTTGGAGGGTAGTTGCCGGAGGTGGAGGTAGTTGTCTTGCAGGCAGCAGAGGCATAAATTCTTCAATGACATTGTGCTCCAAGGAGCACACCCCAGAAGGGGTGAGGGAGGAAGTAAGAAAAATTGTGTATTAGCCAGAGTTGAGGAAACCATAGGCAGTGCAAGCAAAATGATCGAGTGCAATATTCGTCTAGGCTCCGGCAGATCTGGGTATAGCAGCATGAGAGGGAGGGAGAGACAGGCGAGACTTCTCTATGCATTCTATATACACTCTCTGCACAATCTCTGTATATTCTATGCATTCTCTATACACTTTCTATTTACTCTATACACTCTTTGTATACTGTACTCTCCCTATATACTCTATACCTTTATATATTCTTTATACATTCTAGATACACTACACATTCTCTGTGTACTCCATAAAACCTCTGTGTTCTCTATACATGTTCTATATACTCTGTATATACCATTCATACTCTCTATGCACTCTCTATACACTCTCTATGTACTCTTTATACACTCAAGTTCACCCCCTCCCCCTGTCACCCTGCCCTGCAGGTGATCTTGGGCAGATTCATCCCCCCCAGTCCTCTTCCACTCCCTGCACCTGTTGTACTGCCACTCCTGCCCCAAGCTTTCAGTCTTTCTCTGGGGGGGAAGGGTGATTCCACTAATGAACAGCTCCCAAGTGGTCATTTCCATCCTGTGCCCTCCCCATTAATCCAATTTGTGTCAGCAATCAGGAATGTGCTCAAATAGCCCAGCAGCTGCCGGGAGCCGCCTGGGATTCTGAGACCCCCCCCAGCCTGAAGGGCATGGACACCCTGGCCAATTCAGGGGCCCGGCACTTCAATTATAACTTATAAACTCGGCAGATTTTATTGAGGGGGTAACATTCTGTCGGGGAGCCCAAAATTTCTATGCCCCTCACCTGACACATTTATACATTTACACCCAGTCATACAGACACACATACACCCTGCCTGTCACCCAGTGTCACACACAAAGTTTCATACACCCTGCCTCTCACACACAGTCTCTTACACCCTGCCTCTCACACACAGTCTCTTACACCCTGCCTCTCACACAGTCTCACACGCTACCTACACACAGTCTCACACACGCTGTCTCACACACAGTCTCACACACCCTGTCTACACACACAGTCTCAGCACTCAACACTGTCTCACACACTCCTTTTACTTTGAGGTTATTCAGATTGACCCCTATCGGTGTTCTCATGGGGAATCACAAAGGGGTGGTGTCTTGATGACACAGCAGCTCTGCACTGTTAAGGCCAATTCATACTTCACATTATCACGTGGCAGCTTAGTCACATTATGATGGTTGCTGTTGGTGTATGCATACATCGGTGAATTATCCACCAGACCAGCAGAGGGCAGATGCATTGCAACAAAAGAAATACAAGCAGTG